CCTGGGTTCAGGCAATTCTCCTGCCTCAGCCAGGACTACAGGCACGCACCACCATGCCCAGCTAATTTTTTGTATTTTTAGTAGAGACGGGGTTTCACCATGTTGACCAGGATGGTCTCGATCTCTTGACCTCGTGATCCACCTGCCTCAGCCTCCCAAAGTGCTGGGATTACAGGCGTGAGCCACCGCGCCCGGCTAGTTGTGTGTTTTTTTGAGATGTTGCCATCTCTGTTGCCCAGGCTGAAATACAGTGGCGTGATCTCGGCTCACTAACCTTTGTCTCTAGTACAAACGATTCCTCTGCCTCAGCCTCCCAAGCAGCTGGGATTATAGGTGTGCACTACCACGCCTGGCTTATTTTTGTATTTTGGTAGAGATGGGGTTTCACCATGTTGGCCAGGCTGGTCTTGAACTCCTGATCTCAGGTGATCCACCTGTCTTGGCCTCCCAAAGTGCTAGGATTACAGGTATGAGCCACAGCGCCCGGGGACTCCTGTTTCGCTTTCATGCAGTTAAATAATCTTAGATTCTTCCTCCTCGACTTTATACATGCACACTGGAGGAAAGTGGGACTCTGCTCATATTTGCATTTTTTTGTTGTGGAGACTCTCGCTTTTGTAGCCCAGGCTGGAGTGCAATGGCACAATATCAGCTCAACTCATCCTCTGCCTCCTGGGTTCAAGTGATTCTTTGGCCTCAGCCTCCCAAATAGCTGGGGGTTACAGTCATGCACCAGCATGTCTGGCTAATTTTGTATTTTTAGTAGAGACAGGGTTTCTCCATATTGGTCAGTCTGGTCTTGAACTCCCAACCTCTGGGGATCTGCCCCTATCAGCCTCCCAAAGTGCTGGGATTACAGGTACGAGCCACTGTGCCTAGCTAAGAGTCTCGCCATGTTGCCCAGGCTGGAGTGTAATGGCTCACTGCAACCTCTGCCTCCCGAGTTCAAGTGATTCTCCTGCCTCAGCCTCTCGAGTAGCTGGGATTACAGACTCAGGCTACCACACCTAACTAATTTTTTGTATCTTTAGTAGATATGAGGTTTCACCATGTTAGCCAGGCTGGTCTCGAACTCCTGGCCTTTGTGATCCGCCCGCCTCAGCCTCCCAAAGTGCTAGCATTACAGGTGTCAGCCACTGCACCCAGCCCTCTGCTCGTTATTTTTGTTTTTTGAGACGGAGTTTCGCTCTTGTTGCCCAGGCTGGAGTACAATGGCATGATCTCCGCTCACTGCAACCTCCACCTCCCAGGTTCAAGTGAGTCTCCTGCCTCAGCCTCCTGAGTAGCTGGGATTACAGGCATGAGCCACCACAACTGGCTAATTTTATAATTTTTTTTAGTAGAGACGGGATTTCTCCATGCTGGTCAGGCTGGTCTCAAACTCCCGACCTCAGGTGATCCGCCCACCTCGGCCACTCAAAGTGCTGGGATTACAGGCAGCCACCGCACCTGGCCCTCTGCTCGTGTCATTCACACTGGGATTGAGGATGTGTCTTGGAATTGATGAAGCATGTGAGAAGCCGGTGAATAACCTGCAGGGGGCAGCAGAGGCCGATGCCAGTGACTGCACACGGAGGAGAGTATGGATTCTGCCAAGGAGGAAAGTGGAACTCTCCTGGATGGTTCCTGGACAGCCGCCCTTCCCTGCAGGCGCTTCCAGCTGCTCAGAGCAGATCCAGGAGTGTGGAATCTGAGATGCTGCAGCGCCCTGGAAAGCGGGAGACCCACGTGCAGGTGTACTTGAGGAGTTCTGTCCTTTCTGTGGTTGTACATCTGGAACCTGGGGCCGTTTTCAGGAGCAGTGTTTTGGGTTTGACATGTAATTTGCATATCTGAAGAAAATCTGTGAAGATCAGGTTCAGGGAAAGAACTCTTTGGGACCTCTCCTGGAGAAGAGGCTTATGAAGTTGACGGTTTATTTAGGTCAGAAGCTTAAAATCACTAAGTCAGAGTTTACTGCTGATGAAGATGAAGGTCTGGAAGGAGGGAGCGTTTCCACGCTGTGAGGTGGGGTGAGATGTGTGAGAAAGCCTTGGCCAAGTCTCACCCCTAATCCCGGTCCCCAGAAGGACAACTGCTTCTCCCTCCTGGTGCAGTCGTGCCTGGCCTGGTCTGGGTTCCCCTTCCTGCTCTGAGGCCAGCAGATCCCTCCATTGGACAGTGAGTCTGGAATTCCCTGCACACACTTAGGACCCTGTGCAGGACGAAGTATGGACAGCCCATTGAGTGAGGAAAAAGATAATGCCCTGTTTAAAAATCTGGAGCAAATTTGGCTGAAAAGAAAATATCCAACGACCAGGGCTCAGGGAGAGAGTTGTCCTTTAGAGAGAGGCTGTGGCTACAACCGATCAGTGAGGCTCTGCAGGACCAGTTATCCAGGTCTTCTGCCATCACTCAGTTCTGATGGGGCGGGGCCTTGCACCTTGTCCAATCAGGAGCGCCGGGGCGGGGCCCGGCCCACTGTCCATCCGGAAGGAGGAGAACCATTCCGGCTTCTGCTTTAGTTGCTATGTAGGTTGTTGGCATCCTAGATTTCCTGCTCCGAGAGGCGCCAGGTCCCTCTGCCACAACTTCTGTCGCTCTGTTGCCTGCGCTGTGACCTGCTCTATTCACGGGAGCCCTAGAGAGGACCCCGGAATACCCAGAAGCCCGGAGATGGTGAGTGTGTGGGGCCAGAGTCCCTAGACGGGGGAGGGGCTGGGTGGAACCGGCCGGAAGCGGCTGTTACAGGACCTAGGCCTCCTTGCGGCGCCTAGCGAATCTGGGACCCAAATTCCCCAGCGCAGCTCGGCCCTCCGTCCCCTCGGTCGCAGGGTGGGGCTGGGCCGGCAGCCGGGACCCCAGGCGTCCTGTCTTGTCCCGTCCTTTCTCTGCGCGGGCAACTGTGGGTCCCGGTCCCAGAGCCCTCTCTGGGCAGCTCCGCGTCTCCCCAGATTCTGCTGGGACGGGAGGGTGGGTCATGGAGGAATCCTGCTGGGTTCGTGTGGGAGGAGCTGCGGTGTGTGGGGTTCCCTGTATGTTTTTTTCCTGTTAAAAATTAAAGAGTTTGAGCAAACAGCGATTCATGAATGAGCAACACCCAGTCATGATTTGTGGTTTGTTACCAAAAAACTTTAAAAAGAATAGCATTTTGTTAACGGTGGAGGATGTCCAGGTTTTTGGCGTCTTGAACAAAGAATTGGACAAAACGCACAAAGCAAGCAAGGAATGAAGGGATTTAACACTCCACAGTGTGCGAGCGGGTCTGAGCACAGGGGCTCAAAGGCCCCGTTACAGAATTTTTGGGAGTTTACCCCCTAGCGGATTCTATTGGTTACTTGGGGTATGCCCTGTATAAAAGGAGAGGATGAAGTAAAGTTATAAAGTCATTTACTTGGCTTATGCCCTATGGAGAGGGTATTTCCTTTCATAGCTGAAGTGTGAATGGCCCTTATGTTTCCTGCCTCCACACCCTATTTTCCTGCCTCAATCTGAGTTGGATTTTGGTGTCCTTAGGTAGTTCCTTACGGTGATAAACATACTTAAAAGTCTAATTGTTGCTGCTTTAAATTTGTTCACACTGTCTATGGAGACTGGTTTCCTCCTGCATTTTCCTAATCTATGGGATGCAGGGTCTCAAATCCTCCACCCTGCTACCCCACCCTAACTCCTCAACGGTTTGAAGTAACATCTTGTATTTTAAATTTCTTTTCCCACATCTCCAAACATTAACTCCCCTTCTCCAACTCACAGTGCTATCAACTTTCTTTTGAGATGCAGTTTCGTTCTTGTTGCCCAGGCTGGAATGCAATGACATGATCTCGGCTCACTGCAGCCTCCACCTCCCGGGTTCAGGCGATTCTCCTGCCTCAGCCTCCTGTATCAACTCTCTTTATTGTAGAGTATATTTCTTCATCCTTTCTTTAACATAGATGCAGTATTTTAGTGGTTTATCATCTTTTCACAGGGTCATGGATGACTTTTAAAAATATATTTGTCTTCTAGCTGGGCGCGGTGGCTCACACCTGTAATCCCAGCACTTTGGGAGGCTGAGGTGCGCAGATCACAAGGTCAGGAGATCGAGACCATCCTGGCTAACAAGGTGAAACCCTATCTCTACTAAAAATACAAAAATTAGCCAGGCATGGTAGCATGCGCCTGTAGTCCCAGCTACTCAGGAGGCTGAGGCAGAAGAATCACTTAAACCCGGGAGGAGGAGGGTGCAGTGAGCTGAGATTATGCCACTGCACTCCAGCCTGGGCAACACAGTGAGATTCCATCTCAAAACAAGTAAATAGATAAATAATAAAATATTTGTGTTCTATTTCTGAACATTTCATAAGAGGAAAATAGAGAATAACCACTTAATACTCCAGTGAAAAACCCATTCCTCTCTTATCTTCACAAGGCACAGACACCATCTCAGAATATTTGTGGGTTTTTCCTCTTTTTTTTTTTTTTTGAGACGGAGTCTCACTCTGTCTCCAGGCTGGAGTGCAGTGGTGAAATCTCAGCTCTTTGCAAACTTTGCTTCCCAGGTTTAAGCGATTCTTCTGCCTCAGCCTCCTCAGTAACTAGGACTACAGGCATGCGCCACCAGACCCAGCTAATTTTTTTTGAGGTGGAGTCTCGCTCT